TCGAGAACCTTACGAGCTGTCCTTGTTGGGCCAAAATGGCCACCGCATGCATGAGAATGACATAATTCTAAAATAGAGGTTACCTCATCATTACCTACACATCGTCGGATGATTTGATCAGACCCTTTCTTCCACAAGTAAGGATCATCCCACATGTAGTATTTGGAGTCGCTCTTTATCTTATCTCTCTTCGAGCTCGGTAGCTCTTTAGGTGTGGTCCCGGTGACTAAGTAGTTAACTATGTCGGCATACCAAGGAACTGTGGTCTTCACCTCAAAAAGTTGCTCATCTGGGAACTTGTCATCTAATGGTAACGGCTCTTCATTGGAGACAATCCGGCTCAAGTGATCTGCTACTAAATTATGTGTTCCACTTTTGTCTCTAATATCCAGGTTGAATTCTTGGAGCAACAAAATCCATTGGATGAGCCTTGGTTTGACATCCTTCTTTGTCATCAAATACCGCAACGCCGCATGATCTGTAAAAATAATAACTTTAGTACCTAAGAGATATTGATGAAATTTTTCTAATGCGAAGACAATCGCAAGCAATTCCTTCTCCGTGGTGGAATAGTTTGCTTCCGCGCTATCGAGGGTTCTTGAAGCATAATAAACAACGTGCGGGTTCTTTCCAACCCTTTGACCGAGTACCGCTCCGATAGCATAGTTGCTCGCGTCACACATAATCTCAAAGGGAAGATCCCAATTCSRTGGTCTCATAATGGGGGCGGATGTGAGCATCTCTTTAAGCTTATCAAAAGCTTCCTTGCATTTCTCATCAAACCTGAACTCCACATCCTTTTGAAGTARATTGCACATCGGTCGGGTAATGCATGAGAAATTCTTAATGAAGCGCCTATAGAAACCTGCATGACCCAAAAATGACCGGACTTCCCTCACCGAAGTGGGGTATGGTAAGCTTTTGATAACATCTACTTTTGCTCTATCTACTTCAATACCTTTATTTGAGATAACATGTCCTAAAATCAGCCCTTGGTTTACCATAAAGTGACATTTTTAATAATTTAAAACCAAGTTGGTCTCTATGCATCTTTGAAGGATTTTAATGAGATTTTCTAAACATTCATCAAAGGAGTTCCCATAGACGGTGAAATCGTCCATAGAAACTTCAATGATGTTTTCCACAAACTCAGAAAAAATACTCATCATACACCGCTGAAAAGTAGCCGGTGCATTGCANGTTCATCTATCAAAACACCTATGGCTCATGGAACGAAGATTCATGCTGATCCTTCTGGGAAAGCTGTTGATCAGAAAATATATCAAGGTATGATAGGTTCTTTGATGTATTTGATGTCTTGTAGACCTGATATAATGTTTTCAACACATCTTTGTGCTAGATATCAGTCTAATCCAAATGAGTCCCATCTAAGTGTCGTTAAGCACATTTTCCGTTATCTTAAAGGGACTACTAATCTTGGACTCTGGTATCCCAAGGGTACTGGTTTATTGTCCGATTTAGAYATCCGGACAAAAGGCTATATGATAAACTCTTATCCGGATAAGATTAGATATACTTKGCAAAGGATTGAGCGGATTGCTAAATCGATGAATTCATTTGTCCAATTTCCTAAATCGTTTGTTGAGATTATTCTTTCAAGTCTTTAAATCGTTCAATTCTTGAGCGGTTTAATTCTTAACTCGAGCGATTTAACTTCCTTTGTTGAGCGATTTATTTCTAAATCGTCCATGTCTTGAGTGATTTATCCTTAAAACGGACAAGTTTTGATCGGTGTTCTTCTAAATCGTCCTCGCCTTGAGTGATTTATTGTCCGGATTAACACTTAGATATTTCTCAATCCATAAATCGAACACCTCTTGACCGATTTATTCTAATCCGGATAAGTCTTGAGCGATTTAGAATTTGAACGGTTTTTGACTTTGACTATAAATATTCGCCTCATTTTTACTTTTTACTTTTTATCCTCATTTACTATTCATCGTCTTCTCCGCTCATCTCTCTGGTTTATCGCTCAGACTGTTTCTTCTACTGTTTCATCACTTTACTCATCAAGGTTTATTTCATTTGATTCTATTATTCATATTCCTTGATCGTTTGGACTTATATTGGACATTTTGGACTGGTTGGAATCATTGTTTCGATCTTGAATGGAAACTTAAAATGAACCATAAAAGGCTTAAGACTTAATAAAAAAAAATATGTTTTATCTTTGATATTTGTGTGTCTTTTTGATTTTGTTGTGTGTGTTAGTATATTTTTAAGTCTTAGTTTTGTTTTTGATCGGACATTTCACCGGACAAGGTGATCAGAGTTTACTCCGATCAACCTTAATCCGGTTGATGATTGTCCGGTTTATTTATTTTCTTTTAGACTTTGTATTTTTGTTTGTTTTCTTATGTTGTCCGGATTCCAAATCCGGTCACCATTTTGTTTCTTGTTTTTTTACTAAGTGTTTGAATTTTTGTGTTGTCCGGATTTCTAATCCGGTCACCATTTTGTTTTTTCTTCCAAGTGTTTGTTGTTTTCTTTGTTGTCCGGACTTCTAATCCGGTCAATACAATTTTTTTTTCTCTAAGTTTTTTAGACTAAGTTTTTTTTTTCTTGTTTTTTTTTGTTTGTTTTGTTTTGTTTTTGTTTATTGTTTTTGTTATTTCTTAATTTTTTTAGTTTAGAAATTTTTTTTAGTTTAAATTTTTCTTAGAGTTTATTTTTTTTTGTTTTGTTTTTTAATCTTGTTGTGTTGTTATTTTTTTAATTCCAATTTTTTGAATAAAATGGGTACTAATATTTTAGAATTTTTTACAGGTTAATGGCGGATAAAGACATCAATCTGACGAGGAATCTTACGTTCCTTCTGTCAGATCAGATAATATCCCAACTCACCCGCCTAGCCAACCCATTGCTTCTGAAACACTTTTTCCTCAGATAAAATACTTAGACATAAAGTCAAATAACCATGTCTTTTCTTTTCATATGCCAGCCGAATACCCTATCATCCTAGAAATTCTGAAAGGTCACCCAATAGCATATTCTTTATCTGCTAATACACCTGTTCCGATGGTGTATCTTCAACAATTCTGGAGTACACTCACTTTGAAAAAAGATGGGGACACCATTTACTTTGAAGGAGAAGTTGACGAATATGTCAGTCGTCTGACATTGAAACGTCTAAGAAGAATTATTCGTCTGCTCGAACCAAGCTCTACTGGTTTTGAAGACTTTGTATCAGATGAACAACTCTGTTTGGATATCAAACGTCTAGGATACTCGGCAGAATTTAATAATCCAACTCAATTCAAAAGACGATTCCTTCCATCAATCTGGCACTTGTTGTTCTCAATTCTGAATAGATGCCTGACATCAAAGACAACGGGCATAGATACTTGTAGTAGCTCATTCCTTAAATTCTTTCATGGCATTGTCTTTTCAAGAAACTATGACTATGCTTTAGTCATTTGGAATTAATTGGTAGAGCTGGTCAATGCAAAAAGATTCCCGTCTAAAGCCCGGAAGTTTGTGCCTTTGCAGAGGTTTCTACAACTGTTCATTAAGGCTATGATGAATGCTAACGAAGATATTCCGGCCAGATCAAATTCTGAAAAAGGGCCGACATTTGTCATGACCAGAATTCGAGAGCATACAGAAGTGGAAGATTTGGATTCAATAATGGCAGTACCACCAGAACTTATTGCCTTTGCTGATCAGACTGCTTAGTGTGTTATAGACTATAGGCGAGTGATAGATCCAATAGCTCAACCAGAACCGGTTGAACTTGCCCAAGGATCACCCCATGCCTCAGTTGTGAGAGAGGAGTTAGAAATAGAAAAGCGAGTTCGGGAACAGGGTTTACCTGAACAGGCAAGTGTGATGAGAGAAAAAGAATTAGAGAGGGGTGAACAGGCGGGGGGAGCGTCTGATCAGCAGAGTACTTCATCTGACAGTACTTCCATGACTTCTTCAAGTTCGGAAGCTACTGAAACCGATATTGAGGCAGTTCCTGGTGATGACAATGATGATGGTTATAATGAAGGTGAAACGAAAGAATGTGCTCAAACTGGTCCTTCTCAGAATCTTCCAATTGGAACATTGGTTGATGATATAAATGATATCTTTCCAGACTATTCAACTTAACAACCTTGTCCGAGCTTACATTCATTATCATTCAATATTTACGATGTTGATGACTATGACCGTATTCTTAAAGATTTACCTAACATAGAAGAAGATGAGGGAGTTGTAGTTGAAAATGTTGAGAGAGTGAGTGAAAGGGAAGTAGAAAAATATGGAGAGGGTGAGAGTGGAGCAGAAAAAGAGGATCAAGGTCCTTCCCAAGCTGAAACACATAGTCGGGCACCCACATCTGCTACCGTATTCTCCAAGTGCAGTTCTTAGTGAACCTACCGGAACGACCGGAGTGGTGTCTTTGGACATTTCACAAGGACAGGTCGGAAGTCCTACCAATGCTAATATTATGCCAACATTGAACGTAGGCAAAGCAGTTTATTCAACTGTTGTTACAACTGGTAATCTAAGTGATCCAGGTGTGAATTTACCCGACTTTGTGTCAAGGGAATATTTGGACGACGCCCTAAAGGCTGTTCAAGATAATATGGATACTCAAATGGCCAGTCTGAAAAGACTTCTGAAGGGAAAGGAAACCGTAGAAGAAGAGCCACCATCTGCGCCATCACCACCACATGTACCTGAACCGTCAGTACCAGATCAATCGGTGGATGAACTTAAATCGTTACAATATGCAAAATTGATGGCATCTCAAAATCCAGATGCTGAAGATGCATATTTGGTCGGCCTCTTACGACAACAATTAGATGTTAAACCTTTTGTTCGAGCCTCAGAGTTTTTGGCTTTTCAAGATGTGGTTACTTCTAGCTTTTCTAAAGTTAGCAAGTTAATCACATCCAATACCCAAGATCTAAAAAGTTCAATGGATGCCCTAGCTGAACGGGTGTCTACCTTAGAAAAAACTTGCAGATCTCAGGCCATATCTCTTAAACGAAGAGATGACGATTCGGATGATCCAGATAGTCATGAGGGGGAGAAAAAGAGACAGAGATTGGCCGAGATATCTGAGGAAGTTACAAGGGTTGGAGAGGAGCCATCAACTCAAGATGTTATTACTGAAGCTTCTGCCCTGGAATCTGTTCGGGAAAGAACAATTGAGGCCATTGTGATTGAACATGAAGAAATTGAGACAAGTCCTACGATCGAGCCAATGGTTGAAAAGTCAGCAGACTCCACAATAGGAATAAGGATGTTATTGGACTTGTCTGCCAATGTAGGTTTCAACGATGTGTTCTCTACTACTCTGGGTGGAGAGCAAGATTTTGGAGAAGACATTGACAACATTGACGAGTCGACTAGGATCTACTTTGATTTTGAAGCTGATATAGATGATGAAGATTCAGTTTTTCCTGTTCAAGAAGACCGTCAGTCTATTCCAGAATCTTCCACTGCAGATGTACCTGATGTGTCAGATATTCCTGCTCAAAGAGAACAAGTTGATCCTACTGAAATCTTTACCAAAAATTATGTGCCATTCCATATCAGAGCAAATTTTCCTGGTTATGATCGAGCAAGAATCCGAGAGCCGTATTTAGAAGATATCTACTTTGGAATTTTCATCCAACATCGAAAAGCTCTGAGCGATGATAAAGTTCTTGGCATTCATCATCACACCAAAGATTACCGCATTGAATATTGACACCTTTTGAAAGCCAAGAGTCTACCGATAAGTGAAGTGCGTACCAAGCATCGGGTCATCACGATCAAACAAATTGATGCTCAGAAGCTTCTAAGAATATGGTATCCTGTGTTT